GAGAGAGAGGAGGAGGGAGGGAGGAGGAGATAGAAGGAAGAAGACGAAGGAGGAGGAGGGAGGGGAGGGCGGGGGGAGGGATTCCTCAAAAGTGCATTTAGGGAGATAGAGGATGGACGATGAATGAATGAGAGAACAGGAGGGCAGGTGCAGGAGATGAAAAAAGAGGAGAGGAGGGAAACAAGGAGTATTCAGCTATGTTGTTACAAACCCTTCGCTCTTGACCTCTTTGAAACTTTGAAATCTTAAATTGTCTGATTCCTGTTGCTAGGATGTTTCTACAACAGAGCAGAAAGCAGGAGACGAAGTTGAAATCGAAACGGTCTTACCCTCCCTCTTCCTACCCTACCTCTCCCTCCCTCCCTCCCTCCCTCCCTCCCTCTCTCCTTCCCTCCCTCCCTCTCTCCCTCCCTCCCTCTCTCCTTCCCTCCCTCCCTCCCTCCCTCCCTCCCCCTTCATCCATGCTCCCATTCCTCTCTTCTTGTCTTCCTCCTCGTCCGCCTGCTGCTTCTGTTCTCCTTTGTCCACTATCCCTCGATGCCTCCTCCACCACATCACCTCCTCCTTCTGCTCCTCCTCCTCCACATCATCTCCTCCTCAACCTCTCCTTCTTCGTAGCTCGTCTGTTCCTCCTCACCTTCTCCGCCAGGTATCAGCATGGGATGGAGAGGAGAAGATCAACGCGCTGGAAGCTTCCAACGGAGTGACAAAGTGAGGAGACTGGAATGCAATGATGAGTGACAAGAAGTGACATGTGTGTTGTTTTCTCAACTCCATCTTCCTTTCACTCGGAAATCAAGATGTCGAGGAGTGCTTTTCAGCCCGGAGAGAAGATGCTATGTCAACACCTTCTCCTGTACGTTCCCATGTTGTCCTTGTGACGTTGCATGTTTGCTGCGTCTTACAGATGTGGTGTCACTTGTTTGTGTGCACATGACTTGTAACAAGTGGATTGATGCTCTGCCGTATCTGGGGATTGTTTGACCTGTTTGTGTTGTTCAAGATTCTTGTTGCTCATCAGAATTTTCTCTTCATTCAATCTTCATCCACGTGCAAGTTCATCAGACGTTCGTTCATCCCCAAGAAACTGAAGCTGTCTCTCCTCGATGCTTGTCAAATCGCCGCTTCCATGTTGATTCGTGTCTCTGAAATTTTGAATCTAACCAACAACATTCTGAACGAGGGTCGCTTTCTGACTCTTGCGTTTCAGTTTACCTTCGTCTCTGCAGAGGTCGGGGAGTTGGTGATGACGATGTTTTTTCTCGTGTTCGTCCATTGACTCACCTCGCAGCCTTCAAACCAATCATCGCAGGTAAATGACAACCAGACGAGACCTCCAGGCTGCTGCTAGCTGTTACTCCTCCCCCGAACTCCCCTTTCTTCTCCTCCTCCTCCTCCTCCTCCTCCTCCTCCTCCTCCTCCTCCTCCTCCTCCTCCTCCTCCTCCTCCTCCTCCTCCTCCTCCTCCTCCTCCTTCTCTCATTTCGCTTCAACATTTCTTACAAACTTTCTCATGTGATGTTGCCAAGAATGGGACCAGCAAACACTCAGAGCCTCCGAGATTCTGTGATAACTCTTCTCCTTCTCTCTCCTTCCTCTCTCTCCTTCCTCGATCTGTTCTTCTCTTCTATCACCGCTGCTGTGCTCTCATCATCGCTTCACTTTTCTCAGGTATAAAGGAGAAACGCAAGTCGCTGACTCCCAACAGTTCACCGAGTACAAGGCAGAGATTCCTAATGATATCAAGGTCCTCCTCCTCCTCCTCCTCCTCCATCCCCCCCTCGCCAACACCTGCTCCTGCTCCTGCTCCTGCTTCTCCTCCTCCTCCTCCTCCTCCTCCTCCTCTCCTTCCCCTTTCCCTCTTCCTGTGCTGTGTCTACAGCAGCAAGAGTTCTTCAAGGCTGAATGTCTTCGGTGCTTCAGGTTGAGGCAGGACCAGACAGACAACTCGTCTTGGGCTTCTACTCGGAGGAGAACACTGAGATGCGAAGCGCGTCCGTGGTAATTCACTTGACTCCTCCTCCTCCTCCTCCTCTTCCTCATCGCCTCCCTCCTCTCCACCCTCTACACATCTCTTCCTTCTTCATTTGATAGTTCTATAGGAGCTTGGTCAGATTCCTTCGCTCGTCGCTAACCCTCCGATTCCTCGATCTCTTGTAAACATCTTCAATTCCTCCCCTCTCTCACCTCCCTCACCTCCTCCTCCCTCTATCGATATCTATCTACATCTGTCTACCTATCTACCTATCTATCTGTCTGTATATCTACCTACCTACCTACCTAGGCTATCTATCTATCTATCTATCTATCTATCTATCTATCTATCTGTCTATCTATCTATCTATCTATCTATCTATCTATCTATCTGTCTGTCTGTCTGTCTGTCTGTCTGTCTGTCTATCTATCTATCTATCTATCTATCTATCTATCTATCTATCTATCTATCTATCTATCTATCTATCTATCTATCTGTCTATCTATCTATCTATCTATCTATCTATCTGTCTGTCTGTCTGTCTGTCTGTCTGTCTGTCTATCTATCTATCTATCTATCTATCTATCTATCTATCTGTCTATCTGTCTATCTGTCTATCTATCTATCTATCTATCTATCTATCTATCTATCTATCTATCTATCTATCTATCTATCTATCTATCTATCTATCTATCTATCTATCTATACTTTCTCTCTATCTATCTAGATCTCTCACTCTCCTGTTCCTCCCAGTATTTGAACGGCAAGTTTGCGAGTGGAACGTGGAGAGCATATGAATGCACGTTAGCGACTAGAATGAAATTTACTCTCCTAGAGTAAACCTTGAACTTCCTCCCCTACCCCTGCCCTACCTCCTCCTCCCCTACCCCTACCCTTCAGCCTCCTTCCCATCCTCCTCCTCCTCCTTCTCTACCTCTCCCAACCTTCCCGTCCTCCTCGTCTTCTCTACCCGTCCTCGTGTACTGCAAGCGTCCCTCGCGTCTTTCCCTCTATTTCACATTGGTTCTCTTCCTTATCCTGGGTCTGGCTCGAGGGTGGGAGGTCATCCCATCAAGACTGCAAAGCACCAGTCAAGACCCTACAACATAACTCCTTCCTCCTCCTCCCACCACCCCCCGGATATTTCCTCTGGGGCCCCTATGCCTTCAAGTTCATGGATGTGATCTTATCAATTTTCTTGCGGTTCTCCCTCAGCTAGGCCACACATGGATATGGCGGGGGAGTCTCACCCGTTCTTCCAAATTTGGAAAAAAACAACAGGCTGGTCCCCGTTTTGCAAAGAATTGCCCAGGCATGTTTGTTTCAAGGGCGACTTTCACCGCCATCGGTTTTGCCACATCTTGGGATTTTCA